ACCCCCAACGTCACCCCCAACATAAACCCTGGCCCGACACAAACCTTCGACACTGCGAAGGACTCTTCCGATAAAAACGTTGTGCTCTGCACGGCTCAATTGAACAAAGAAATGCATAACGAAACATCTGGGGAAACTGCATACGGAAAGTGCACATAGAAATGCATAGTGAAACGCGTAAAAAGTTACATAGGGAAGGCACACAAAAATGCATAGCGAAATGCACAGGGGAATTGCAGAGGGAAAGTGCATAAAGAAATGCATAGTGAAATGCAAAACGGAAATTGCATAGGAAAGGTGAACCGAGAATTGCATCGCGAAACGCATAGGGAAATCGGAAATAAGAGTCAGTAAAATTCGGCCCCCAGCAGAGTTCACGGGAAGACGCAAGGGAAGTTCTGGGGCGGTAAAATTTGTTTTTTTTTGGTAAGATTGAAAATAGAGCTACTCTGGAAATGCACTGGTGGGCAGCTCTGGTGGAATTCTCGGCGGGATCCACTGGCGAGCCGCTCTGGCGTGATACTTGGCGGGATCCCATTGGCCGGGAGACTTGATGGCATCCACTGGCAAGCCGCTGGCGGGATACTTGGCGGAATCGACTGACGAGCAGCTCTGGCAGGGATCCTGGGCGGGATTCACTGGCAAGCTGCTCTGGCGGATACTGGCTTCACCTTTCGCTGGCCGCTGACCTGTTCATACTGCGTGCACGCGAAGCCCTGTCAGATGCCTCCTCTTCTCGGGCGGCTCGGCGGAGGCTGCTCTGAGCTGCGGGAGAGCCGCTGAGAAACTGGCTCCTCGGGGCCAGCCTCTGATCAACTTCACATGGCTGCTGATCTGGCAATTTGGCTTTTTTCCTTCTTTCCGAGCGGGCAGAAATGGCCAAAATTCGCGCGCGCTAAACACGCGCGCCTTCTGCGGGCAAAGTGGGCCACAGAAGCTACTGCGGGGTCCGCGCTGGCCCGCAAAGAAATACGACGCCAGGCGCAAAAGATGTCCGACGCCCAGCAATCGACTGCAGCGGCGTTGGCGACCACACTGTCGCTCATCCATTCTTGAAAGCTGCTGTCCGATCACTTCGCCACGTTCTTTGCCACGTGGTGGCGTTGGACGCCTGTAAGTCCTGGTGGCAGCGGAATCACACCGTGGACAGACACGGAGCGTGGCAGCGTGTCTACTACCCCATTCGTGTTGGGTACGCTTCAACTGTCCAGAAGGTCCTTGGGGATGAAGTGGAGCACGGCTGGACGCCCATCCAACCTGCCAACCTGCCAGCGTTACAGCGCTGAGCCGCGTGGAAAGGTCCAGCGCATTTCTCCGGCAGGCAAGCTCACGCCCGTCCTCTTCACGCCGGCGGTGGAGAAGAATTCGTGGTTGGTTTTTTTTTGCTCACACATCTTTGTTAAAATTTCTGAAGAAGCGATTGCTAAAATGTAAAGAAGAAGTGCAACGTGTGGGTTAGCGTTTCAGCTGAGATGTAGAGGCTTGAGCTTGTTAGTTGGAAGGGAGCAGCAGGCAAATGGCTTCTCTTGATCTGGATACGGATGACGTAGTGCTTGATCCTAGATCTTCCTTTTTGCTGCGGCACGGCTGATAAACTGTTCACACGGCAATGTGAAAATTGCAGCCCAGGCTCAAAATGTGAAAATCTGACTCCTTTCTGGGCTTGGCCAGCTTGATAAATTGATGCGGCGCATTGTAAAAATCCAGGCCCAGTATGTAAAGATCTGACCATTTGGTTCCTTTCTGGTGCTCCTACGGCGCAATGTACAAAGACAATCCAGGCTCAAAATGTGCCGATCCGGTCACTTGGCTTTTTTTTCTGGGCTTGGCCCCCTAGTGCGCACGCGAACACCTCCAGGCCAGTGTTGACACATATGCTGGGGCAGCAAGACAAACATCTGGGTTGCACGGTACCCACCCGAACAATCTCACTTCCCCTTGTCGAAGACCGACGTTGTATGGACATGAGCCTTTGTTTGCTTCATAGACCAACGTTGCATGAGCACGGCGGGAGAACAAGTCGCGAGGCGCCTGCTAGGGTCCAACTTATATCCTCAGAATATCAATTTCGTATATCAAAGAAAAGTATTCCAGCAAATCTTTTAATTATCTATAGTCATGTGTCGAATCATCTCCATCTATCTATTTACCTCTTTATCTATTTATCGGCTTGTTTTTTATCTACCTATCTATATATCTACATCTATGTCTCTTTCTATCTATTTACTCTCTTTATCTCTTTATCTATCTATCTATCGGTCTATCTGTTTACCGTTTATCTATGCATTTATTTATTTCTCCATTAATTTTTATATATATTTTTTTTTCGGTTTATTTTTTTTTTTTTTTTTTTTTTTTTATCATTTAAAAATTGTGATTCCGGAGCCAGTTACGAAAATGGAATTCATGCATTACTTTCGTACTTAAAAATTGCGATTTTCAATCCAGCTACGAAAACGGAATTCATACATTATTTTCGTATTAAGAATTTGGGATAATCGAGCCGTAATTACAAAAATGGACCATATACTATTGTATTTAAAGGTTCCGATTTTCAAGTCCGAAAGACCCAGATACGAAAATACTTTCGGACCTGAAAATTGACATTTTGCGAGGCCCAACTGCGAAAGTTGACCTTATAAAAATATTATGATTGTCATAAAATCTGAATTTCACCTTACGAACATATTACACCTACCACGAATACTATATTTAACCTTGCGAACATGATATACCTGTCACAAATTTTGCACTTGACCTTACGAACATGATATATATACAACAATTGCACTTAACCTTACGAAAATTCTACAACTGCCACGAAAACTATATATGACCTTACGAAAATGATACACCTACCACGAAATCTGTATTTAATCTTACGAAAATAATATATTTATCATAAAAAATATATTTAACCTTCCGAAAATACCGAATCTACCACGAAATATAAATTTGCTCTTGCAAAAATAATACGTCTGCCACGAAATCTGCACCTAAGCTTTCGAAAATGTTATGTTTACAGTGCAATTCAATCCTTCAAAAAAAATCTCCTTACGAAGATTTTGCGCCTATCACGAAATCAAAATGTTATATCTATCATGTAATTCAAACCTTATAAAACCTCTATGTTACCATATCCCTTCTTTCCTATTAAGCAAAACGACGTTCCCAGAAAAGGCCCCCAGGCTCGAGATCCGCCCCTACGCCCTCTTAGCCCCAAAGCAATCCAAAGAGCAAGCCAAAACGTATCCAAGAGGCAATCTAAGGCGCGCCCCAAGCCAAGGCCCTAGGACCTTAACGCCCCATAAAAGGCGCAATTAGCAGGGCGACCTCTATTCTAGGCATTATTTGCAAAAACGAAACCCCAAGCGCATCCCCAAAACGTGCCCAAGAAACAATCCAAGGCCCTTCCCATATAAAGCGCGCCAAAGAAGGTGCAATCCTAATACTATCCTCGCCCCAAGTTAATAATATACCCGTCGTCCAGCAAATATTATAACTAAAATAATTTTCAATCCACTCCACACAATTAAATCCATAAAAAAAGATTTCTCCCTTTCGCAAATTCCATCACAAAATCTTTGTTTAACCTTATAAACATAATATACCTATCATAAAATCTATCTCCAACCTTACCAAAATATTATATCTACCACAATTTAAATCTTAAAAATATATAATTTTCAACCAACCAGAAAAACCAAAACCCACACAAAATTATATTTTTTACAAATATTTATTCCCCCATCATAAATACACTTTTTCTCGCATATATTTTCTTCATCTGATTTTTATATAAAACAACCTTTCAATTAATTTCGATAATTCGGAAATTTCCTTATAACTTTCCCTTAATTACTGATTAATTAACAAACAATATCTTACTAATACAATTTTTATTTTTTTATATAATACAAATTATATCCAATATAATTCATATATAAAATAAATAATATATATTATATAACTAAATACTTTGTTTCTTTAATAAAAATACATCCCTAAAATTCGTATTTCGGATAAACATAATTTCCAACAAAATCTTATGAAAAATTCTAAAACACGCAAAACGCAACATGTATTCTTAGTTACCTATGAAAAGCCTCGTTATCCGTTTTGTTAAAATCATCACCCATAATAATGGTTTCGAGCAAAACAGCATACTCTATATGGATAACCATAATTTACCCATAATCCTCAAAATGAAAAATATAAAATAAACCAGACCTTACATTTTTGCCTCCAGGCACTCCTCTCCCCCTTTTAACTTCGTATTTTACTCCTCATCTATGTCTTTGGTATTTTAATATTTTCCTTGGTCTGTACGACAAACCATATTGTTATTCAACTATCTCATTACGTTGGTGATCCTTTCTCGCCGATATTGCTGTTTACTGGAATATATCCTTGCTCTGGATTTTGCATATGCCTAGGGAGCTATGCGCCATACACTACACATCGATCATTACACTGAGACTAATGGGCATTTAACCAACCCACATGACCCATTTGTGGGATACATATGGTAAGAAACCTTGCCAGCAATTCCTTTCACCCTACTAAGTGGCACAAACCTTCGGCAAAAAAAATTGCCTTCCCTGCCGAACTGGATCAGCAAATCTGCTGGATGCATACGCGCTTTATCAAGTGGAGTCTGTTGCGTTGCACGTGGACTAGGACTACGAGTTGAAGCTGTGCAACGTTTCGCTACTCCTGACTGTGCCCGCGAATCCTTCTCTAGGAAACAAAGGGGTAGCTCTGAAGCAGGTTGCAAACAAAGGTACAAAGACACACAAAGTTGAGCATTGCTGTATCTTGAAGAACTGCCAGTTGATAAACAAGAAATGCAAAGGATTGACGTCAGCAAAAATGGAGAGATCAACAACATGAAAAGAACTTCAAAAGTTGCCGTTTCATTGAAAATGTTTAGATCTTGGTCACTCCCTTTCTCACCACTTCCCAACTCCAACTCCGCTCCCCAGCTTCTTGTGAGGGAAATTCGGTCGAGATGGGCCTTGCAGTTCTACTTGGGAGTGTGAAGAGATGAAGTGAATGGCTTGATTCCATGCATCTTCAATCTCTCTTCATCATTTCTCGGTCTCTCGCTCTGTGTAATTCACGAGTTCACCAGCCGTAGCAAGAGACAATGAGAAACGGCGGCTTCCGCTTTCAGCGTGGTCTCAATGCTTTGGAGATCTTCAGGGACACATGGCGTCGCACCTGACGGCGCGGCGCAAGCCATGCAAGGCGAAACCCGCAGTTCCCTTTTGCGCCTTCTCTGCCATTGGCGCATCCACAAACGCTGAAGGGAATCTTGAGGCTAGCCAGAGGTAGGTGTCACACACCTGCAGGGTGCAGAGCTCAACTTCTCAACGTCTCAACATTTCTCAACCTTGGTGCTTCAAGCCTTGTGCAGATTCTCTAGCTCAAGAACTTTCCGCGCCAACTCGCTCTCTCCCATGTCCACGCCGTCCATGCCGTGCGTGCCATCCACGCCGGCCAGATCAGGAAAAACAACAGCTCCAGACACAAAGTCCCGCGCGAAGCCATGAAGCCTGGGAATGTTGAATGCGTGTTTGATCTGCTTGATCTTTTTGAGGTTTCATGGCTGAGGCTCCAGCGCCGTCATTGCCGCCATGTCGGGGCTGATCGGCGCTTGGCAGAACACATATTTCTCCTTAGGCCCAGTACAAGCTGGCGCGCCGCTTCATGCCTGGCATACCCCACAGCTGGAAAAACACATCTGCTAAGATAACGTGATCTGACAAAGGCTCTCCGAGCGGCGCTGGGATGTAAGCGGATGTCTTCCAAAAAGTGCGCTAAGCGAATCACAGTCTTCGCCTGCGCCAGCATGTAGAGTGGGGAAACGTCGGCAACAGCCAGGAACCGTTCCACAAGTTCTGCGAAAGGCAAAGCTCCCAAGTCCCTCTCCAAGCACTGGCTGAAAGCTTCAAGATGTTCTGGCAGCGGCAACAATGCAGCTTGGACCTCCGTGCCCTGACGCTCGTCCACCTCGCGAGCTTGAAAAACACATTGTGGCTTTTGCGCGCTTGTCGTTGCAGTTTGGGGTGTGGCTTTGCAAACACGCAGCGAAGGATGGGGCGTTGCAAGAAAGGAACAACCAATTGGCTCCCGGTTTTGTACGGCCATGACCTAGCTCAGAGCCCAGAAAAAACATTGGGCGACGGTGAGGAAGCTTAGGATGTGCATCCTAGTTATAGGATGTCCTGATCTCTATCCTGGAAGCGCAAGCAGCTTTTGCTGAGACGAGGAAGGGTCGTAGGTTGTAGCCATCTTTTTCAACTGTCTTTGGAAATCTCAGCGTGCTGATCCTTGATGTAGGCAGCGCGCCCGCCCTATTAGACATTGTCTGTGTGGACGCAGCGCAACTCTTGCCTGGGTCGGTCGATTGTCTCGTATTCCAGTACCCTGATCTGTGATGCCTTCATTCATGACATTGCCTGGGAAGCAAGGTTGCATTCTTGGTGGTTGAAATCAACGCCAGTTGAACCTTTCTTGTCATGGTCTCTGTTCCAATCATTCGCTAGTCAGTCTATTCCGGCTGGCCCTACAAAGCACCACGTCTGGGATCAGTTTTCCTTTCGTGGCCGTTTCGGCTTGTTGAGCATGAAAGGCATTGATTTTCACGAAGCATCCAATTGCTCTGGCGCTATCCTGCCCTGGCCCAGCGCGGCCACAGCAGGAACGGGAGGAACGGGACGGTGACAGCAGGAACAGCCAACGGCAATGGGAGGCGCATGACAAGGCCCGAAACGCACGCATTCGCAACAGGAGCCTTGATTTGGCGCCATTCGGCCTCGTTCGCAGCAAGAATGTAGGCCTAGTGTCATTTTTGCAGCGAAAGGCCTTGCTTGGCAGCAAGAATGCGAAACAGCAACGGGAGGCCCGCAACGAGACCCGCGACACAGCGGCTGCCGCGCAATGGCACATACGGAGCACCCACCTTGCTGGAACTAGCGCAGAGAAGCAGAGCTTGTCCAATTGGACATAGCAACGCTAGCACAACTCACTATTCCAAAGACAGAACAAGAGTTGACTGCTGGACAGATTTGACTACTTGCGCAGCAGGCTTATCAAGAGGGCCGACAATCAGAAGATGATCGATCGCGCAACATCTGCGCCTCAGCTCAAACCAATCGTAATTGGCGACAGAGTATTCGATTGGAGTGAGGATAAGTCCAAAGGTTAAGTTCTACAAGAGGAATAATCCACAGATGGCACTATGTTTGGCAGAGACCTTGAAACCAGGACAGATGAAACCAAGTCGCCATCCAAACCAGGACATCCTCTGCTGATGACCCTCATAAAGATCTATTGGAGCAGAAGAAAGCACACCGAGGAGAACAGTTGTGAAGCTCACATTGCACATTTTATTTTAACTGCGTGACTACATGCGATACATTTCTTACAATTATTCCCACGTATCGCCCCGCCTCAGTCAGTGCTGTGCCCTAACAGGCTTAAAGACATTCGACATGGTTTTGACATCGTGACGCCAAAGGCACGAGACATTATCCGTGAGCATCAACCGCATGTTTTTTGTCTTTGCACCAGTTTGTGATTTTTTGGACTCTGGTCCAGTATGCCAGATATTCATGATCCAAGGATTGCTGAAGAAAAGAGAGCCGGATGATCAATTTAACTTGCAGCCTCGGTCTCAAGATACCAATAACTGAGAACGCTTCAGAGATTGAAAGATATGGACCTTTAAGTCCATAACGGACTTGATGAAACATTCTCAGGTGACGTGGAATGACCTTGGCTTTTGTGCATTCGGTCTCCGTGATCCTGCCCCAACAAGTCTCATGCGCAATCTTCATACTCGTGAGACAAATGCTCATAAGGTGCCCAAGTTACCTTTCAAAAGCACCAGCGTCAGCCTCTAGAAAATATTTTTGCACCATTCTCTGACAGCGACATCACCAACACCTGATCCGAGTTGGACAAGCTCGGAGAGGAGTACAACAAGACAAGCACCAGCACTCGCACTAAGATTCAGGATCTACCTTTCCATAGCCAGACAGATCCATGTTACATTAATGAACCGGAAGTAACCAAACTTCCGATGGCAATGAAACTGTTTGATGTCACATAAGTGAAACTCCTTTGTGTCATGATAGCAGGTCATGAGATTTGAACCTAAGCTTGTTTTCTTTGTCACCAACAGCATGACTTGATTTTCATGCTCCACAGGCTTCAAACTGATCCGTGCAAAACATGGGTCTCTAACATGGTAGCGACCCTAGACCAACCCGGAACCTAAACCAACTAAACCAACCCCAAACAAACCCTGGCCTAAACCGCCCAACCAACCTAAACCAACCCTAACCAACCTTAAGCTAAACCAGCCTTAAACCAGCCTAAGCCAACCCACATCAGCCCAACGAACTCTCTAAGACGGGCTGAGAGCCAGCCGAGTCAACAGAAGCAGTCAAAGACACACATGCTGGCAGACAAGGCAACACGAAGTGATACCTTGGATATGTCACGCATTCTTGCAAAGCCAGAAGCTTTTGGTGACCAGTAAGAATTGTAGCATCGTATAATCGTTGACCACCAAATACCTGGCATCTCCAGAATAGTAGTCGCCGATGACGCTACTGTACGGAAACAAGAAAACATGTTGTGGTGAGAAATGCAAGTCTCATGCAAATACTTTTGGTTTGCCCAGTGTACCGTGCTCGTAGAGAAAATGCTTGATCACCAGTGTGATGCTTCTGCGATGGCCTTTCTACTCGCCCTCCATCGGAACCTTTCTAACAGAGATTGTGGTGTCTCCTCGGTCCGATTGCAGATGTATATTGCGTGAATAGCACCATTGGATCAGAGGAGTGTCGGCCTCTTTGACGCTTTGAATATACAAAGCTCAAGTTTCACGAACTTACGTCCAATGTTCACATCTGTTCGGTAGAAGGTCATGTAATCGCAGTTGAGGCCAAGGGCGATGCAACGGAAGATTGTGTCGCTGACGAAGGCAATGTCCTTAAGATGGCTGACACCTCTGAACTGCTCTGCTTTAATACCAAGTATGTTGCAGGCCGTCCAAATCCGGTACATGATGTATAGCCCTCTCAGCTTCAGGAACCCAAAGAACATTTCTTCGTCCCTGTGGTTGGGCTTTTGAACCTCACATTCTTGTTCATAGGTTGGCGGGATTGGAATATTCGTTTCATCGACATCCTTGAAAGTCCAATCGTCCCTCCCGTTGATCGGGACAGTATAGTCCGCCTTCTTTGCCAGGCTCCTTGACCACATCTGCCTCGTTGTTGGCGAACACCTTCCATACTTTGAAAAGTACGACGCCAATGAATCCAGAGAGGTATGATGCCTTGCCGGCTTCGTCAACGCAGATGGCCTTGACCTGCAGGAGATGAATTGCGTCCGCATCCTCCTCAGGGTTGTCCGGAAAAACTCCCGCATCTTCATCGTCGATGTCCGTCCCGGTATCCGATGGGATGTACGATCTGCCTGCAGATCGTTCCTCACTCATCTCCTGGGTGTCGGGTCGTTCTTCCTCTGCGACGAATCGCTCAGCATCTTCTTTTGCTTCTCGCTGAGCTTGTTTCACCTCCTCGGTCACATTGGTGGTGTCGGACGGTTTGGGCTCGTCGTTGTCCACATGGATCACGAACGGTGGAAATGAACTCACATTCGCGTGCCGTGTAGTAGCAAAAACCCCTTGGAACAATGATGGCGCACGCTGGGCATACCCTGTTGGAAATGCTTGATGGGTCGTCCTCGCGGTAGACGATGAATCTGCTGAGCAAATCCCGGATCTCTACCAACGATTTGTTGCTACTTGATGAAGTAATCTGCGAAAGAGTCCTTATCGAGCGTGATGCCACCGATTTGTGACAGCTCCTTCGCGAACTTCTTGTTGAACAGATTCACGATGAGGTGTTGAACGAAAGCTTCCATGTCCCCATCGAAAGCGCTCTCAAGCTCGTTGATGTCACCGAGCACCAGGCTGCATTCAGCAAAGAATCTTTTCATGATGTTGGGGCGGTCGGCGCCTTTGTACATGGTATTCTGCTCGATCAGCCTGTTCGCGCGGCAGTTGATGCACGAATTCGCATTGTGCTGATGGTCGGCCGTGGATTGAGCTCCTTCTGCGTCACCACGTCATCGAAGTAGTACCACTTCGTTCGCATGTCGTCGCCATCTCAACGAACGCCTTGCCTTCTCTTCGCTGCTTCTGTTTGTTGAAGTGAGCAGTGAAGTCCGGCTTGTAGTGATAGCGGACATTTCCGCCTGTTGCACCCTGAGGCACATTGAATTGCAGCGGGGACGCGCCCACACATGCATCTTCCATGTGTACCGAGCAGTTTACAACGGATTGCTTCCATCTGCCGCCACTCTTGATCGTATTGATCAATCCTCTGATACGAGCAACAAGTGGTGTGTTTGTACCACGTCTCATATCGTCGGATGCGTAGTAGGACATCTCGATGACATTGTTCCATCCATTGTCATGCGTGCGGGATTGGAACGTCCTGATGTGCTTCCCAGTTTTCTGCCTCAATGGCCGGCCAAGGATCACGCAGGACTTGGTCGATGTTGCGACATTGCACAACTGCTGGCATGTGAGTTCGGTACCTTCATCAGCTTTGTATCTTTTGATGATCTTCGAAATTCCAGCATTGACCGTGTCGGGATTGTCATGACCGTCAATGTCAATGAGAGCCTTCAACGCGGTTGCTCCAGGTAGCTTTGCTGAATGGAGACATCCCGTCTTTTGCGCAAATGTATGCGTAGAGTGGGAGCCAGGCGAGGTTGGGTTTGTTGAGGTAGGCAGCGATGATGCGTTCAGCTTTTCTCCTCTCGTCGAAGATGAGCAATGTTGACACCAAATACCGTTCCCAGTAAGATGCGCTCTTCCCCGCTGTAACTTCTGGCCCAAACTTCGTGATGGGCATGACAACTCCGGATCTTCTGTGCAATACAAGCTAACCCCAATGTTGAGGTTGCCGAAGGCAGTGCGCTGCTCGATG